TTGAGATTCGCTGATGATGTAGTGCTACTGGCAAAATCAGCAGAAGACTTGAATACAATGATAAAAGCACTTGCATCAGAAAGCGAAAAAGTTGGATTGAAACTGAACCCGGAAAAGACCAGAGTGATGACGAACGGAACAAACCATACTATAGAATTAGAAAACACCGAAATTGACTATACTGATGAGTACGTCTATCTGGGACAGCTGATAAGCCAAAAAGAACAAATGCAAAAAGAAGTGGAGAGAAGAATTACAAGCGGCTGGAAGAGATACTGGAGCTTAAAAGAGGCTATGAAAGACAAAACACTTCATATAAACATTAAAAGTAAACTGTTTAACACCTGCGTGCTACCCGTTCTTACATACGGCTGCCAATCATGGACTCTAAACCAGGAAACATTGCACAAACTGGCAACTTGTCAGCACTCAATGGAAAGGAGTATGCTGAACGTTAAAAAGTCTGACAGATTGAAAAACTGCATTATTAGAAGTAGAACAAAAACTACAGATGTAACAATCAAAGTCAAAAGACTTAAGTGGAGATGGGCTGGACACGTGATACGAGGTAACGACAAATGGAGTAAAAGAGTGACACAGTGGTACCCCAGAGAAGGCAAAAGGAAGAGAGGCAGACCGCAGAAAAGATGGGACGATGATATAAGACAAGTGGCAGGACCAATGTGGAACCGAGTGGCTCTAGAAAGAACAGAATGGAGAAGATTGGAGGAGGCCTTTGCCGACTGGCAAACAGATCTTGAAATGGTAACCAAGGAACAGATATTAGTTTAAGTAGTTTCAGTGCAAGAATAGTTATTTGTAGTTTTAGATGTAAATTTATTGTAAACATTTAAGATCTGAATAAAAGGCTAAATTATAATTATAATTATTAATACTTTGCCCGACCCGGGAATTGAACCCGAGACCCCTTGCCCGGCAGTCGCACTTGCGACCACTCGGCCAACGAGGCAGTCTGACGATTGACTATACATATTATTAAATAGAGTATATACATACTAACATAGATTGAATTTAGAAAATTACTCCTATGTAACTTTATCACTACACGACGAACCGTCTGCAAGACACGTGAGGTCATTGACATCGGTGACGTGTTAATGTATTTATCAAACTTTTTTATTATCAGTTTCAAATTCCTATAACAGATCACGAGGATCATCATTGTCACCCACACCGTTAAAGGAAATAATTGGTTCTAAACATTCTTGTTCACGCACCTACGCATTTATAATGCCATAATGTCGCTCCTTATAAGATATTCTTCCTATATCGACGTATTATCATACTAGTATGTTAAGAATGTTAAATGAAATAACACCTATAAAGCCTTAATGAAAGTCTTTAGATATTTGAAATTCATCGAGCCCTACAGATAAAACAGCACGGAAGTGCTAACGTATCTTTATTTAGTTAAACATGAGACTAGAAAATAATTTTCCTATGCTTGTGCTTCAAAAATCTGACCACGGTATTAACCAAGCATGTGGTATTACTCCTAGTGGGTTATGTGTGTGAGACATTCTGTCAAAACTAATGGGGAAAATGCCAGGAATACAAGGAGAAGAGTAGAACAAAATTTCATGTATACATATGTATACAATGTTACGCAAAAGTTTGCTTTAGTTTTATAAAAAAGGTGCCTTAATGATTTTATACATCGCACCTTTAAAATAAAAGCGTTATTAAACGAAAATTTTCATGAATTCACTATTTAAAAATTCATGTATACATAATATGTATACATGAAATTTTGTATGTATGATGAAATAAAATAAGATAGATAATATAAGATAGAAGAGAAAGAAGATATGAAATAAGTATGTTATTTACAATAATTTGTTGCTTACGAAAAGGAAGATTTAACTAAAACGGAAGATTTCGCAACCCATTCATTCAGTTATACATCTAAGACCCACGACTGAGATCGAGGTTACAATCCCCAGGTCAATTTTGGATTACGAAAGACGTACTATACAAACACGAAGTTCGAATTTGTTTGGTTTAAGGTCAAATCCCTATGTTATTTATTATGGCAACACTTATAAATCACAGATTGAAAATAGGTGAAGTAATACTACCAGGAGGTACCTTATGCATGTGATAAACACGATGCCCATAGAATGGACAGTCTTCTAATGGGAATGATTAATTCAATTTGATTTTAACATGAAATAAAATAAAAATCGATAGAAAATTGCCTATATGAAATCCAAAACAATGTTACACAAAAGTTTGCTTTAGTTTTATAAAAAAAACTAGCTTCTGCCCGCGACTTCGTACGCGCAATCCCGATATTTCCCGTTTCCGTTCTTGATTTCCGGTAAAAAATAAAAAAAAGAATTGGGTAAAAAGATCCTATGTCCGTCTCCTGGTTCTAAGCTACCTTCCCACCAATTTTCATCCAAATCGATTTAGCCATTCTTGAATTATAAATAGTGTAACTAACACGACTTTCTTTTAAATATATAGGAGATGCCTCAATGATTTTTTAAACCGCACCTTTAAAATAAAAGCCGTATTAAACGAAAATTTTCATGAATTGAGTATTTACATGAAAAATTCTAAAATAATTAGATGGCATTAACTCAATTCATGAAAATTTTTGTTGCTTATATGTACATGCAAAAGTAATGTACCTAATACGTCCACATAATATGATATAAACAATTATTTTTATACCTACAGTAAACGTTACGATGTTTTACATCATAAGGCAGCGTTGTCTTATATCAAAACTCATGAGTTTTTGCCTGACACCTTTAAAATTACGATTGACTGAAGGTAAACGTGTAGTAACGTTTAGTTTGCGATGCGAAGCGAATCGCTAGTTACGTATAATTACTGTCTTTAAAATATCATTCTAATGTGTTAATATTTGCAATGTTTATTTAGTTGCCAAGTACACAGCATTGTTATGTTGGATTACAAAACAAATAAACGTAAACATCGCATCATAATTTTAATTTCCTCTGCATTGTCTAGAAGTAAAAATAATATTATGCAAAGTGTGCAGGTACTTGTTAAATGTTCAACTTTTTTATGGGATAGCCGGTAAACGAGCAGACGGATTACCTGATGGTAAGCAATAATAAAAATATCGGTATCGCCTATAGACACCTGGAACCCCCAAGTGCGTTACTGGCCTTTTTGGGTTAGGAATTGGAGGATTGTTGGCGATTCTGGGATTGGGGAAGCCACTCGTTATTTTCATTTTTATTTTTACTTTATTTTCTACGGTTTTCGTTCTTTTATATTGAATCTCATGAAATAGACAGTGAATTATAACTAGATACATAATTAAATAATCTTATGGTCAACACGAGCCTTTTGGTTATTTTTTAATTTTAGTCAATTAATAAGGCCTCAAAATAAGATATATATCTGACAACAGAAAAATAAACGATATATAATCTGTCTGAGTATTTTGCTTGACTGTCGGTTGTGCGATAACGCGACTGAATAACCATAAAAGAAAGACTTAACAAGTGGTTTTGAGAAGCTGAACATGTAGAAAAAAGACTTACACCGTCGCTTAATTAAGGCATTGTTTTAAAAATATGTAAATAATGAGGTAAAATTAATTTTGCGGTCATTGTCCGAACCATTTTGTAAATACTGCACTTACTTGACAGCAAAACAGAACAAAAAAGTTACCATACACGAACACCGACCTAAATAAGGTAAAAAGTACCTTAGCACAATATAATTAACAGCAAAAATAGAAAAAATAGTGTCCAACACGATATTGCATGTTTACTTACAGTGAATACGTATGCTTTAAGCAATTCTATTAATGAATAAAGGCTCAGTAATATTTTATGGCTAGTTATGATTGTAAATTATAAGTGCCTGTCGTATAAATAATATTAATAATTGACGAAGGCCACAATTGCTCTTAAATCTACGATTCACCGGTAATTGGATAAGTGATACGTGTGAATAGTTAGGTGCGGTAAGCCCCATTATGTAACTGTATTACATAGGCTGGTACTCAAAATCAGCGCTGAGGACTTGAGCCTTCGTGCCTGGGCCACAGTTAAGTTGAGTTCCAGTCTTTTGCGCTGCGACGCACCATGAACTTCTTTTTGTGTGTGCATTGTTCTGCGTACATGTCTTGGCGTAATAAACAGTTCTTTCTTTAGGTGTTACGACATAGGTAATTATTACTCAAGTATAATTGAAAAATATAAAAATTCGTAAGGTTTTTTATATAATGGCTGGCTACTTTCACTATAGGTTTCCTATAGGTATCAGAGTATCAGGTTTAAATTCTTAAAGCTAACTTTCACAACTGATTTCTTCTTGTATTCATGTTTTTTATTAATACGGCAAAAGTCCGAGTCCGAAGAATTATTATTATTTATTCATTTAGAGGTAAAACTGTAAAAATTGAAGGGAAAACGATGAAAATTTGTATTAACTTTTCTTTTTGTAAGAATTGCTTTCATTAAGGATTTTCCATTTTGTAATTAGTATACCTCTAGGTTTAAACCTTTTTTTAAAATAGGCACGAATCACATATTGTAAAAGACACGATCTTATAGGTAGGTACATACTTTAAAAATGTTATGTACCAAATATGAAACTCTTGCCTGTCTCATTGGTCGAGTGGTTTCAAGTGCGACTTCCAGGCAAGTGGTCTCGGATTCGATTCCCGGGTTGAGAAAAGTACTACTAAATCTCAGTAGTAGCACAAAGTCTGGAATTGTGTATATGGCAATAGGCTCACCCCCCTACCTATTTACATGAAACTCATAACATAAATAGTGAACAGTGGGTGTTACATTGTACAGTGGCATTAAGTATCGTAATATGCACCACTGCCTATGCCTTCGGGGATAAAAGGCGTGATGTGAAGTTATATGAAACTTTGGAGTTTTACTGTCCTAATAAACTTTATAAAACATTAGGTACAGAGAATGCAAAATGTCGTAAACATATTTTATACCGACTATAGCGTTGAGTACCATTACAAAACCATGCCCTTTAACTTCCAACACATAAGCAAGGGGAATTTAAGCGGTATCAAGGTTGACTCTAAAACCACATGTGCCAACAATTTGCTGAATTTAACGTCGCAATTGCGAGAAAATTATGACATAGTGTATAACTTGCTACCTGTGAGTCCGTTTGTGTGAAAAACGAGGTTTCATAAGAGTAAGTCTCGATTTTGTATGAACATCAGATACTAACATTAAAATAGATTAATACTCCGATGTCACGAATTTATTTAAAAAAAATATTACTTCAGAAGTGTATGTATCTTTATTAAGACTAATAAATTTTTTTTCTAACTAAATTAGTCTTGTTATTTTATCTTTTGCTATTTTTATATTATACCTAATTGATAGTGGAGCTATTATTTAGCTAAGTTTTTACTGTGAATCATAATAAGATATAGTAAAATATGCAGTTTTACATTAATTATTTTTAAAGAGAATGTGAAAAATATAATAAATAAGAGAATTAATGACGTGAAAATAAATGAAGTCAATCATTGTGATGATTAAAATTAATAGATTCGTTCAATTCCGCTGCACAAGATTTTTAATTGGAACCAAAACTTTAACTAATTAAAATGGAAGATAACAATGACCGAATCAATTAGTATCTAGTTCAATAATAAGAATAAGGGCAAAAAGTGGATTAATGTGTATCATTTATTATCAATTGCCCTATTCAGATGAAATTAAAAATATTTACTATCATTTTTTTATATTTATACTTGATAAGTCTACCTTTGGCCACCATCTCGTCCCGTGGTAAGCGATGATATGAGCAACCTATTCACTCACGATTTGAACACACCCAAGTTATATTTGAGGGGAAACACGGATTTCGGTTAACACACAGTTTGTATTACATTAAAAATACTAAACAAAGGCTCAAATCTAGTCCACAAATCAATATAATCTATCCGGAACAGTAAATGACGTTTAGATCCTCAAAAATGTTCAATTATTATCGACGCATAGGAAGTTGTTAACGAATTTAGTTTTTGTAGGATTATAGACATTATATTCACATCATTAGAATGACCTAACATATCATAATGATTTAGGTACTTCCACACACATGTTATACGATTCGCTCTGTTGCACTGTAGGTACGGAAATTAATTTGCACAGCGGAACATGATAATAATGCAATTTGGTTATTCGAAATACTAACTCGAAATTGTACATAAGTAACTAAATTAAGAAATCAGCATCTGAGATTAACATTACTGGCTGTTAATCCAAGGTGATGTGTCATTAGTTTAACTTCCTAAGATATTAGATACGTTTCGGGAAATTAAAGATTGTATGATAAAATTAAGGACTAATTACAAAACAGAAATTAGATGTCACAGAATAAGCAACCTCAGTTCAACTTCAACGTCTCAACGGAATTGGGGATAAATATTTGAGTTGATTTGTAACAAAAATTGGTCTAATTGTTATACCAGTTGTTGTACCAGAACGACTTGTCATCTTACAATTGGAGATTTCTTTTGACTGCCAATCTGTTGTTTCAGTTGTGTTAGCTGGACTAGAATATCCAGGTTCCAAGGACTGAGTCGTTCAAAGTTTTATTCGATGTTTCAAATACTTAACGCTGTTGTGCTAATGAGTACGAGGTATTATAGCAGTTGTCAATTGTCAAATTCTATTAATCTTAAAAATACACAGCAGTACTACATCTACTCACGATTCGCATGACTTTTGTCATTCTAATAATAGGTATTAGTGTTGCCTCATCCATGGGAATACATTGCATGAGTCATGACTACGCCCGCGATTGTCGTGCTAAAGCCATTCAGGTCGCCATTCAATACAATGACCACGTTTTTGTACCAATTTCTTATAAGGAACAATTAATTGTGCCATACCAAACAATAGACTCATACTTATTTAGGATCCAACTTATTTGGTGCCGATCTTTTTATCAATAATTCTAATTTGTGATTAGACAAACATATGTACCTACATTATACGTTTGTGTGTTTTATTTTCTGCAGTATAGAGTCCAAAATTCTGTGATATGACAGGACAAATTTTAATCTCAATTTCAATGAACATAAGGACCGTGTTACGTCGAGAACGTATTTGTATTGCCGGATATTGACAACTCAATAATTATTATGGCTTGGATGAGCGGTTCTGAAATTGAATTTTACTGTACATACCTACATCGGTAGGTAGGTGTAATAAATTGACAGGTAACGATGCGCGATGTATACTAATCTGGTATCTGGATTTGTATATGTATCATATTTTGTGCATAAATACTTTATCTACGACTCTTCGTCAATTACAACTGTTTACTGAAACATTAAGATTCAAGCTTTTTCTCTATTTCACAAGATATGGTGAAAAGCTTCTTAGAAATAGGAACATAGAAGATGGATCCTATGACAAAATGACATGATTAAAAGACTCTAGCTACAAACACACTGCTGGCGTACCTTCACTCGCTTAATTTGTATTTAATATGTTTTTGATGGCGTGAACTTTACAATACTAAAGATTTGCGTAACCTTTTAAGTTTTAATTGAGTTCTTTCCACACGCAAAATTTGTTGACTCTACACACACACACACACACACACACACACACACACACACACACACACACACACACACACACACACACACACACACACAATAATTTAAAATTCGTCATTGAATTTCATAATTATCCATAAGTAGTTAATTATAAGATATAAATAAAATTTCTCTCTTTTGATTTCGAATGTTGATCCTCCACCATGTCTTTTAAATACAGTAGGTACCTACTGAAAGAAATAAAATGTCTACACTTTCAAAATACAGCAAGATATCAAAGTGATGAAAAGTCTATAAATGTTAAGAAAAAATTAACATACTACTGTACATATACGTACGATTCTCGTTAAATTTTCTATTACCATGTAAATCTAATAATCAATACCATACGCAATCTTTTTATCTTTATTAAAATAGGCGCGACGACCCTAACAAATAAAATGGCGAAAAAGTGGCCAGCCCTTTCAAATAAAACGGTAAATTGAAAAGAATGCCTGTTAAACTCAAATCATCATCAATACACATTAAATGAGATGAAAATTTCCATTTGAATCCACACGGGTTAACGATGGGAAAGCAATGGACTGTCTCCGATTTTCCTTTGCTCATTACATGTTTGTAAACCTGTTTAGTTTACTGGTTTTAGTAATAATTGCTGTTAGTTTACTTAATCCTTTGGACGTACTTAGATGCTAGGTTATTCTCATGAGTTAGTGAGTTTAAGCTTTCTAATAACGAATCATTCTATCTTATTGAAAGTAGGAGTTTATTAGATTTACAAAAAAAACAAGGACTGGAAAAGCGTTTTTCAGTGAAATGTATAAATAATATTAGGTAGTAGGTACTTATCAGTTGTAATTAATTGACATTAGTGCAGATAGAAAAAAACTTAAAATTTACTTTATCTTTAGGAAACATTTCTTAATTTACGATAAACAAGAATTATGTAATGGCATTGATTTTGAAATTCAATAAAAGTCCAATACTTTTTGAATTTCTTTAACGATACAATGATAAACTTTCATGGAATTAAATTGTTGCTTTTGAAGTCATTAGTCATAAATATTACCAATAATGAATCATATAACGTATAGAAATCAGTAAAAAATAAGTACAATAAGTGGAAAAAATACTATAAGTTCATGCAGATAGGTTAGGGCAGAGAGGTAATGGGAATAAAAACGGTGTCAGCCGGATTGTGTGTGAAACAATGGCCGCAGTGCTCTGGAAAAACTTTGCATCTTAAAGACTAAGTCACAGCTAACAACTAACCTAGATGTCGAAGTAGGAAATGAGGTGAATAATTATGCTTTAGATTATAAACAGGTTACTATGACAAGTATCAGGTCACAATAGGCAATGAACAGATCTACTGCACATTATGTTGTAGTGAGTCAGTACATTGTTGTTCTTTTACATTCATTTTTTTTGAGGTTATCTTTTTGTTAACTTTAAGAATCGATTCAATAACGTATAACTGTTGTCTATACAACAGTCTATATTTAGTTCAAGATATTTTTTATTCATAAGTTTACAAATTGCTACAGATTATTTCGAAAACAGATTTCATATATAGGTAGTTAACAATTAACAAGATAAGTCGAAAGATGCTTCTGTTTCAACGGTTAACAAAAGAGTTAGAGCAACTAGATATAGATATACTCGATAACCTAGTTCACACAAAAATGCAATACCTATAAAATTGCATAGTAGGTAGTCTAAAACAAGTTTTGAGTGGCCACTATTTCAAATTAAAATATGAATTAAGAAATTGAATTATGTAGTTAATGATGTTATCCAACATGATCCTAATCCTCTGTAGTATTACTTTTTATGAGGTCATCTTTTTTATGATTGTTTTTTGTACGTAGGTAATACTCATACTGATTATTCCAGTCTTCAAAAATACTAATTCATATAAATTCTTTCCTTATTTACAGATGGCGCGTCTAAATCACTTTGTTCTTGGCATTCTCATCTTGCAAATATACGTATATGCTGCACCAAGTGACGTCAGCAAGATCGAAGAAATTGCCAAAGTAGAAGTAGCTGAACCCAATGTAGAGCTAGTTGACCCCTATGTAAAGCAAGCTGACCCTAAAGTAAAAGAAGCGGCCCCTGAAGTAGAAGACGCTGGCCCTAAAGTAGAGGAATCTGACCCCAAGCTCGATACAAAAGCAAAAGAAGTGGAAAGCGACAAAAACTCTACTGACACACAGAGACAGAAAAGATGGTATAACCCCTATGGCTTTCCTCCTATGAACCCGTTAATATACCCAAGCTACAATAAAAGAGATGAAGGCCAAAATACTGGATACTATGGCGGACAAGACCCATTAGTACAGATACACAGACAAATCCAAGAGATAGCTAACATCGTGAGACAGCCTCCTCCACCTCCACCACCACTACACCATATCCCCATATTTTTCCCAGTTTTATTCATTCCTCGTGGTGATTGCAACTGCAACCCAAATCCTAGTCCTACTCCGGGACCAGAAACCACAGAATCTGATAAAAACGGCACAACACCTTCAATAATGAATCGTTGGCCGGTTATGGAAGACACGAGACAAAACTGGGGATTCGTTGTGAATCAAAGTGACAGTGATTCGGAAGACGGAGTAGAATTCAGTAGGCCTATTTCATTCGATCCCATAAGATTGAACAGACCAATGAGACCTCAACCACCCGTAGAACATGGGAGTGTACAAAGCGATTCAGGTAAAAGAGAGGATCAGCCTCAATCAGAGGCCTCGAGACCAGAAACTCCTGCATTAAGGCCACCTCCATCAACCAGGCCTCCACCTTCAAATAGGCCACAGAATTCATCACCTTTTGATTATAGACCAACTCCGTTGGCACCTCCGAGTAGATGTGATGGTGCTATTCTCACTTGCTGCCATCAGGCGCAGGTTGTGTATGAGTGTTTCGCAATTCAGGGATGCCCTGACCTCTCTGGCTATGGTTCGCCTTGTGATCCTAATTTAATTTTAACAGTTATCGAAAGATTCCAAACGTACTATGGACAAAGAAATAAATATTAAGTGTTAAGTTAACTGTAAAAGAAAACTACTCAATCCAAGCTCTCAGCTCAATAATTTATTGTGATTATTTATAATTGTAACACTCATTTTGCTGCTTGTTCTAGTTACAAAACTAGTAAATAATAATTACGGTTATTTCTCGCTTCTCAAGGAAATGTGAAAAAAGTAAGCGATCTTTTAACAATACTCAGTTTTTGCAATAAACAGTTGATTAGTGTACATTAAACATAGATGTTTTTTTTTCACATTCTATTAATATAAGATAACCATTGAGGTATATATTTTTTGATAACTTTTTACCCATTCATTATCATTATTTATAACTGTATTAATACGATTTACCCACTGTTCAAATGTAAATAAATACTCAAATAAATAATTATTGATATTTATGATAAAAGTACAATAATATAAGGACAGTGATAATGTTCCTATGGCCCATGTATTATTAAAACTAGATACATGACAATAAAAATGATTCGTCGTAGACAAATCGTCTTTGGTTTTATTTTCCTTGATATATGAAACGAGTTCGTATTTCCATTACAAGAAGTTTATTGTAATATTCTATTTTTAATTTATCAGTGTCCAATTTATGCTAAATTGGTACTAATTTGCAACTTCAAAATTTATACTTTTAGTATTAAAACTAGCTTCTGCCAGCAGCTTCGCCCGCGGTCCCAGGGGTAAAATTCCTATGTATCACTTCAGACCATAATCTACATCAGTTCCGAATTTTATTCCGGTCCCTTCACTCGTTTTAATATGACTGAGTAACAAACATACACATAAACTCACATATTTTCATTTATAATATCGAGTCAAGCTAATTTCAACCATTGAACTTTCAGTTACAGCGTAAAGTCTATGAATGAGTATTGTAAACGTTAGAGTAGACAAATACAATCAGAAATCACCGAATTGCTAAGCTATCTGGAGTTTCACGTGTTATTGTGAGTCAACCATAAAAGGTAGACATATGCTGTCGAGGAATATTTTTTATATAATTTTAAGGAAAATATTTTCGTGATACATGATTTCTATGCAGCTTTAACCTATAAGCCTGCACACGCGACGGAAGTTTTAAAAATGGAGTAACTTCTCCCGTTTTCCCAATATTTCCCTTCACTGCTCTGCTCCTATTGATCGTAGCGTAATGAAAAGTATACTATAACCTGCCCAAGAGTATGAAGAATAATTGTGCCAAATTTCGTTAAAATCCATCGAGTAGTTTTTGTTTCCATAACGAACATACAGACAGACAGACAGACAGACAAAAATTTTTCTGATTGCATTTTTGGCATCAGTAGCGATCCCTAACCACCCCTTGATAGTTATTTTTTAAATATATTTTATGTACAGAATTTACCTCTCTACAGATTTATTATAAGTATAGATTGAGTAAGTTACAAGGTCGAATTAAATATATTTATTACTTGGAAGAGATAATTATTAATACTTGGAAATAATGGATTCATTGGGGGAGATCTGAGTTCTGAAGTGCACGTCGTGTAGCCGATATGATGATTGTGGATAGCGAAAAGTAGTCCATACCTCTACATATACTATATCAGTTTCTTAAGCATGTCTATTTAAATTAACTCAGTTGAACTATCATAATAATAATACCAGTGAATAAAAAAACTCGTTTAATATTTTAAGCTACAAATATCAAATCAATCTAAATGTTAATATCAAATCAGTCAACTTCATTTATTTATATACATCTGTTTTTATTACCACCAACATAATAAATCTAACGAGTTTTTATTTCAGTACCAACAGAGATTAAATAATTTTCTGCTATTATTTAACAACAAAAAAAAAAATAATAAAAAATGATAATTTTCGTAATAAAAAATAACGTCTTATGAACTTAATTAGAAATTAAAATGTTAGCTGTGTACAATTCTTTATACATTACATGTCTCAAAAAATAAAGAAAGAGAAAAGCTATTGAAAATATTCTTACATATTTTGTGTATCACTGAGTATAATATACTCATATAATATTAAATTAATGAAAATATTGAATTAGTTTGTTTTTAAGTACCTAAATAATATCATTTATATGAGATTAACAGTATAACTAAATGGCGTAAGCTGTGGTGTTGTATATGTACATTTTCTAAAAATAAATAAATATAATATCATTATATCTATATTATCTCAGAAACCATAAATAAAAATGACCACAGTCGCTAAACAAAATTTTAGGTAGTAAACATGGGTTAACACTGCCTCGTTGGCCGAGTGGTCGCAAGTGCGACTCCTGGGCAAGGGGTTCGATTCTTGGGTCGGGCTAAGTATAACAGGGTTTTTAAAAAAATCTTTGTCGTAGCACGGAGTCTGGAATTGGGCCTGGTATTGGCTCACTGCTTATTACATGGGACTCATACCATAAATAGAGAAAAGTGGGTGTTACATTGTACAGTTGCATTAAGTGCCGCAAAGTGCACCTCTGCCTACCCCTTCGGGGATAAAAGGCGTGATTTTATATTACATGGGTAAACACTGCAGGAAAATCAATTTTCCATTCGCAAGAAACTTGTGGTCGATGGTTTCTATCTCATTGTATTGTACTGAAGTTAATGACATCAGAATAATACTGTACACAGCTACATATCAAACTATACATAACCAATTTATCATGATCTTGCTTCATATGATCATTCCACAGATTCGACGGTTAGTTTACACTGGTTTTATGTAGTGTAGTAGTTTATATTGATGTAAAGCCATTTGTAAGTACCTAAGTATAAGTAACACTTAAGTATGAAAAGGCAAATGATTGGTCAACGTAGGGATATATAGAGTTGGATGGGAAATCCAAGTACACAGGTCACTGGCTTAATGAGATTTGTCATAAGATACATGTATATGTAGTCTGTTTTGTTTACAAAGTTTTAATAATATTTCCTGTATACTTAAATTTTTCGAGGATTCTCGACTGGTTTCAAGTGACATTGGGGCTTATAACCATGTTTACGACTAGAATGTAAATTACAAACTTAAATATTGTGGTAGTCAAATTATTCATAGAGTATATTTACAGCATTTACGGTGTAGTTTCCATTTTGGTAGGTGTGAAGTAAATACTTATATAATGCAAATGAATCTTTAAATAAAAAAAAATGTTTTAGTTAAATAGTGATTCACCATGACACAGACACGATTTGTATTTGCATTCTAGTTTCTTAAAATTGTTATTATCCTCATTATCACAATTCTTGTTAAAATCTGATGAACATATTTATTTACCTACTCCGGTTCGACAGAAAGAACCAATACAAACAGTTGATCAGAATTCACAAATCAGAAATGTTTCAATAATGATAAACAAACGTATAAGAAGACTTGATTCCATAATACATAGTAATTTAATTACTCATTTTATTGTATTTTAATAATTCATTGACTTAAATAAAATGGAATTCCCTTTCTGATATATAGTTAATTTAGTTTTACTTAGTAATAGAATAACCATTTATATACGAAAAACAATATACAGACATGTTTTTTCTTATTTATAATTAGATAGGAACTAATTATCTCTTATTTTATGTAAATAAATGATAACATGTCTAAGAAATTGGTTTAAAAACTGTAGGTAATGTTTAAAAATAATGTGTTTGTGTTGTTTTTTATTGAAGATAAATCATTGTTATATATGCATTTATTAAACAAACAAATATAGGTGTTCCATGTTTGGTAACTGAAGTGTTAAAGTAGGCTATTATTACGACTTCTACCAAAAAATGGCCAGAATTTTAATTCCAAAAACTATCACACATACTAATTCAAAATCAACTTAAACAGAGGCATAACACAGTTGAATATCCTATCAAACCTAGCCCAATAAAAAATGCACATTAATAGAAGGATATCAATTAAACCGGTAACAACGACAGGTGGACAGGTAAACGTAAATTATGTATTAATTATGTATCTATACGATGTTGGGTTTCCCCACACAATCTGCAATAGTAAATAATATTTAAAAAGGTTCTTCACGAGAAACCACAACGATAGCCCGAATCATCAACGTCATTGCCAAATCTTGAAACAGCTATCGACATTCGAAATCCCGCATCCCCAGTTATCGGTAAGGAAAACTACTATGCAGAAAACACGATGTTTATATACGTTAATAAATATAAATGTCCTCAGACGATAGTAGACTCAACCGAGAGGTGGACGTTTCGCGCAAACCAAAAGAAAAAACACTAAAATTTGTGCTAAATCAGAACGGACAGGCCAAACATAGGAAGGAATTTAGTAAGTAACATTAACTTATTTTAATTTATGCTAATAATATTCTATTTGTAGTAAAATTGCGTTTTTAATTACAATTTTCAACGGTGTGTGGTGTTTCGACACGTTAGTTCGAAATGTTTACGCGAGTTACACAATTATTTTGAGGTTATACCACGATTAACTGGTTTTGGACAATGAGTAATTCGTGTATTTGCATTTTTTTTACCTTTACTGACCTACGATGGCGGACACGAGTGAAGAGATAATTTTATAGACTCTAAAAATTGTTTATAATACCCGGAAGTTCACTTATCTAAAGATTATGCGTATGTATCTAGATAGGTACCAATTTAGGTGCAGTTTGACACTCAGAAATGCCCTATTCTTGTGCTTACTACGTCACTTCTATCTCGTATTTTATTTTATAATCTATCTGTATACGTAATCGATTTTCCTAGTAAATACATGAGTAGGTGATTCAAATTGCAGTAACATGTGAATGGCACATCTATTAACGGTCAAGTCGACGTGACCTTGACATTGTCTGCATACGCCACACACACATTTAAAAGTTTACCTACATAGCCAACATTTGATCAAACGTTGTCTTATAGCAAAAAATCGTATTGACTAATGTTTGCGTATTGGTAGTTGGCTTAATCGACATGGCGGCGTCCGTTGTCCTCGGATCTGGAAAAACCAAGCGCGTCGGTTCGCGACATTAATGCATTTATTATAAAAATTCACGTTTGGTCTCACGTGACCTTTATATTTTTGTTACATAATGTACTACTATCATTTGTATATGGGTATAAAAATATCAGTTTGGCATGCAAGTTGCACATGAGTAAGAATTAACTAAAGTAGTTTCGGACTTATGATCTCTTGTCAAGTGTCTGAAGATTTATTTTCAAGAATATTTCGAACAATTACCTAGGTACATACGTAGAATACAAATAGCATCATTTAAAACGATGAGATGTCGGAAAGAGATCTTGCTAACCGGAGCAGATATTTTATTTTTAATAATTTACGCACGTAGTCCATACGTAGTGTTTGATGACAACAATCACATTACGAGTATCATAGATCTAAATATATTTTTTTATTACAGAAATGGCATCCTACACAACACTGGTAATTGTAACGATGGTACTAGCACAAGCGTTTTGCAGACCCGAAGGTAACAAAAATAGCAACTATTCTACAATAAAACCACCAGCCAGCCTGTCATACAACGAACTGGTGTACATTCTACAAGCGAGACACGGTAAAGATGTTCCAAGGCCGAAGATTTTGTCTCCATGTGCTCGAGCGATTCTCGGCTGCTGCAAGGATAATCACATCAACGAGTCTTGCTCAGAATCACTCAATTGTGGAGCATTTTTCTTCGACGACAATCCGTGTGACGAGAAATTCGTGCTAGATGCTTTAAAAGCGGCTAAGAGTTTTTATCAGCAACTGTGAGCTTGAGTAAAATAGCACTTTGGTTTAATTGAACTGTGATTTATAGAGTTTGTTGAATTTTGGTGTCTTATCTCACTAATTACTACGTGGCTAATTAAATTAAGACGTTCTATAACATCTATGTATTTGAACAACTATAGTTAGCTAATCTAAATGTTCGTCACGTGCAATAACCACTTTGCCTAAAGATGCTTTCAAAAAGTGCTTTCTATTAGCCTATCAGTAATAAATGATAAATAATCAATATCATTATCAAGAATTAACAATGTAACTTAATAATTTGTTAATGATATTTTTATTGTAACTAATTAGTGTATTGAAATACAATATTTTGCGTTAAACATTGTACAGGCAAACAACACTAATTACCACTCAGTATAATCAAAAGAAAATGTATGAAAGTGAGCTCTGGTAATTGCCTGTCATAATACATAACCGTGTTAGTATATAATGTACTGATTAGGCCTAGGGCCATTGTCTACAGCTAACGAAGTGTCTTCTCAAGTAACACGCGAGATAAGGTATCATAACCGGCTAAGAGATTGTATTCTTATGAATTATACGTAATTGAATCTGTCTAAGTAGAACGACTGACTTGACATCAGTCATTAAGTAGGGACTTAATAAGTAATTTATTGAAAACCATGACAATTTCCTGCCTATGTATATAGAATAAGTATTTTTTATAGAACTTCAACAGTGTTTTCGTATTATTGACTACTACTACTAAACTATATTCTTTTGTAAAACTTAAAGCGCAAAAAACATGAAGTATTATCAAATATTTCAATACAACACATAACTATGTTGATACTACTGTTAAGTCATTAATTTTAAGGCGTGATTGTCAAGCTTCAAAAGGCTCGAAAAGGCTTTAGTAAGAGGATCGGCTTTCCTGGCGTGACGTCACGACATAGTTTATAGTCCTCACTGCCATAATTTATTGTGTAAAGAAGATTTATAAGCTTTGGAGTCGAGAGTGGATTGTATACAATATACCTACACGTACTAAATCAAGATCCGAGTGCAGAGTACTGGTATACGAATTTATTGTAGAAATTGTTCTAAAACAGTTTCAGAAATTAAGTTTAAGTAACGTATTTTCAATGAATTTTTAATTGATCTGTTTTCTGATACCGTTTTATAAAACATCTATTATGTGCATTATTGCGTAAGTAATTTTATTCTTTAAACAATAGTCTCTGATAAAATACAATACCTAATATAATTATGCGCACTTAGGCTTTTGATAGCAATTTTAATTTTATAATTTATAGATATTATTCACAAACATTAAGTTACATTTTAATACACAATAATAGTTAAAATGTTAAATAATTATGTATTTGTCTTTGTAACGATTCCCATGAAATATGTTGTGTAAACACACAGAATAAAAATAACAATAGTGAGTAAAATATTGTCAAGAACACTTAAATATTAAAATAATATTGTTCTTCCGTAATCCTTGGTTATATTTATTATTTTCCTGGAGTATAACTTAAAATAAAGATGTCTAAAATATGAATAAGAACGCATTATTTGGTGTTTGGATCTAGGGGTCTGGTAAAACACCAAAAACTACCTATTTATTTTCGATGGTACAAGAAGGAATCGCAAAAAGTCAGTATAGAAGGCAATATCCTCTTCTTTAGATGATTTCATGATACCATTACTTATGTATAATGTAGGTACCTGATATGTCATCTATGTATGTACATATCTACGGCTGGAAATAGGTCTCTCCAATAGCGCACCACTAAGCTCAATTTTAAGTTGTTCAACCAACCAACCACAACACAGCTACACTAAATAAACGCTTCGTAATTTAAAAAAATGAAAATGATGAATGATAAATGAACAGAACTTTTAGTACCTACCTAGAATACCTATGAAAATATAATAAATGTTACTCTAAAATAAAATGAGAAATGAATGCTTAACAGGAGTTTCTTTTTTACTTAAAACCCAAGCATTTGGTAGACTAGATATGTATAAAACAGTTTAAATCGAGTGAGGCTTGTTTGGAGCGGTGCCAAGTCCGCTCCAGGCAACAAGTGATCGTTAAAATAATATAAATGTATTATATTTTTTATTGCTTTTTATACCCTCTTACTGTTCCTCTAGGACACAATGGGGTTTTAAATGTAAATTGTTAAAGAAAATATAGATTTAAGGTTTTGTTTAGATAATTTCCATCCTTAAGTCAAGTTTTAAGTAGTTGCAATTTACACGTCTATATTTATTACTAAACTGCGCTTAATTTAGGGCATATTAATATCAGTACCTTTATTTTGGCTGCTAGTAAAATCTCTGTACGTTACTGGACGTGGCTGAAAAGTAAATTATAAAATAGGATAATTTGTATTTCATCCTTTGACAAAACACAAACGTACCACAATATCATAGATACTACAAAATATCAGGTAGTTACTATGAGACAACAGAACACCGAAAATATGTCACCAACCCAGAGATAAAGCCGAAATATGTCACATCACTGAAATATTACCAAAACCCACATTTTGGAACAGAAATGTACTGAAAACATAATGTATTGTGGTAAGTATTTAGACTAATGAAAGGTCCGACAACATTATAAACAGGTACCTTTCATTTTGTCAACCAAAAATGAGGGTTCTATGGTCCTAGAAATTCCAAGGATGTTATACGGGGTGTAGTAATTTGACGTGCGGTTAGCGTTGTCTAGCCAACATACCACTTCCTTCAGTAGACTGGTCCATAACCTGTAATTAATATTTTCTCTATGGGCCACAGCGTTCTCTCCTTTATGGGCCACAGATAACTGCGGTCCTTGTAATGAAGTTGTGTGGGAAAATTGCTAGTGAGCTGAAGGCGTTATCACTTATTTTAGAAAAAAAGATGAGGTATGCCTGTTTTTGTTGTGTGCTTTGTATTAATATTTTCAAAGATTTTTTTATCTTCTTGTAGCAAAAACAGTTATTTCTTCAAAAAGCTTTTATACCTTAAACTTTAATAATGACATCATAACCGTTGCTCGTTATCAGTGTCCTTCACTGAACAACGTTAGCCACCTGAAACCGTTTTATTGCCATTTAAAATACGTTTTGTTCAGCAACAGGGACATTATGCTTTGGCACAATAAAAATTAAATGGCCTAAAGAATATATACGTGCTACAAAAACCCGAGTACGCACTTAGGAGTTACGTAAACATCTTTTTGTGTGTTTCAATGAATAATTAAATAATATTACAATGTATCCTTTGTTCAGTTTACGTGTCTTTACAGTTTTTCCCTTTTCCATGTTCAATTGTTTTGGTTTTCAGTTTAGTTGCTATTTAAATTGGAAGATTTGTTTTACGCGTTGCTTTGGTAGAAAAAAAAAGTAATCGCATTAGGCAATCCAAAAGTAATTTTTCAAGTGACATTTAGATAAAGAGCACAATAAAGTACCAATGTTAGTGAAGCTAAGCTTAATTTCGTCTTATAATTCTCTTAAGATTTTAAATAAGAATAGCAATTAAACGAGCAATTTTCCTTGCTCGTCCACAAATCAAGTTCCCCAAGTGTCATGTTGACAGTTTGTAAGTGGGTGCTGTCACCAATCCACCTGACATAATCCCTGAAACGCCTCTTGAGTCACGCTCGGAAAAAATGAGGTTTCTTATTTTAAGTCAAGCTAGATGACAAGAGAATCTATTGTTGTTATAACATTTAATTTGGTCTTCGTATTTTCAAAGGGAAGCTTTGGGTTTTTTAACAGGACGATGAAAGTGTTAGGTTGCTTGATTTGAAAAATTTTGAGTATTTGCATTGCTTTGTACCTTATTGGTTTCACCCCTTTTAACTTTTTCGCAACTGCTACATTGGGGATAAGGGAACAGGAAATATGTATTATATCTTTGAAAAAAAACTTAAAACCAGTAAAATTGCGTGTAAAAATCTGACCATTTGTTTTAAATGTTAAAATAAAATAAGCTTTTCATACTCAAATACATTCTACATCTAAAATGATACCAAAATTAAAAGGAAGTAAACCTCCAACCAGAACTATATCAAATGTAAAATTGTACAATTTAATTCTAGTACTTAAGTTTACATAGAGCTGCTCCTTGGCGAGCAGCCAGTTGTGTTATGATACTTATGTTCATACTTATTACTTTTGTTGTTTTATAACTATCACAAAACCTTTTAAATGGTGTTAAATATGTTTGTTTGGATTCTCTTAACAGTTAGTTAAATAGTTATTTTCTAACATAGAAATCACATTGTAAACCACTTTGTTGAAATCTGTATGACAACCAAACACACCTTTGTATTTTATTTAAGGGTGGAAAATCATCGAATGACTTCTCCCGTCTAGGTGAGGCGGGAGGGAGTATCGGACTCTAACTGAATAAAAACCACCCCGTTCCTACTTCTGCCCTTCGAGTCGGAGTCCCGGCAACCCAACGGCAGTTAAGTCCTCCGTAATTATATCCTAGTTAAGAAACAAATAATTTGTATAGACTTTAGATGTACAAGAGTAACACCCGAATCCTTAAAGGCTACTCAATTTTAAGTAGTTAAATATCGTGCCATCTCTGTCATTTTACAAAGAAATTATAGTGACAGAACTATACTTAAGTGCGACTTAAAACCTATTAGCCTTTCAGTATTCGGGTGTCATATTCAAACAATTCATTTCAAATAAAGCAACGCAGTTTTGTAGCTAAAAGAGCTTTACTACAGTTTATTAGAATGGAAAAACACCCAAATAAAAACAGAATATAGCCAATAAAATTATTTTTGTACCAAATAAAAACATAACTGAAACGGCTACATTTGCAATGGCCTGTTATTGAATCAAAATGTTATTGCGGTCTATAAAAAGACACATTTACTTTTTAGATACAGAATACAATAGAATATTATATTTTAGGAGCTTAGAACAATAGTAAAATATACCTTGTGTAACTTGGTCAAGGTTTATTTTAAAAAAAATAAAAAATACAATTGGTACTTGAAGTGCTTTTGT